TATTTTGTCTACTACAGTCCTGGAGAACTGAACTTCAGGAGACAGGTGGCTTTTCCAGTCCCTTCCAGGAATATTTCCTTTTCAATATTTCATGGAAGGAACAATGACAGGCTGCAAATTCCTAGTTCTGAAAAAAATCGCATGAATGAGCGTGGCTGCAAGCAGTAATCAGCACTAAAGAGAAAAATAATGCCGGGTTTAATAAGCTTCAGTATTTGTTACCATGATGTAATCAGTTACGCCCATCTTCAGGAAACTTTTTTCTCATTGATGATGTTTTCACCTGCTGCTAGCTTCTTATACAAAGAGTACAGTTTGTCTGCCTGAGGCACTTCAGCACCAGGAGTCAAGGGAATTTCAAAGTCGGAGGAGTTCTGGGAGTCCCTCCTCAGTTCTAGATCGGGAGTCCTGGAGCTGTCGCTTCTTTCCACCAGCAGGTCTGGAACGTGAGCAGTGCCAGCTTGTCCCTCTTTCTCACAGTCTTTACTTTTCAAGTCACAGGCGATATCGTGGGCACGAGATTGATTCTGAACCAGCGGTTTCTGCTTACTGCTCTCAGGTTGAACATCTTTGGTGGGCTCCTGTGACACAGGGACAACTGCTCTGCTCCCAGCTTTGCTGCAGCCGCTCAAGTCCAAGGCATTTCTCTCTTGGGAGGTGATGAGCACCGTGTCCATCTGGCTGTCCCAGCCTTGGCTCCCCTGCTCCGATATGTGCGTTGACTGAGAAGAATTTTGGGAGGAGATGTGCGTCGAGTCGCTTACTCCGTCCGAATCACTGAAGAGTGACTGGGACCCACCAGCATCTGCTGAAGATGGGAAGTTATCCTCGTTTTCAGAGCTTTCTTCCGGTTTGTTACACTTAAAAAATGCATCCCAGCAAGGGACGTCGGTGTTAGACTCCTGTTCGTCATTTGTTACTCCATTGGAATTTGATGTGGAAGTGGCATCTGGCTCACAGGAAAGAACCTGAAGTGTATCTTTTTCTGATTCTTCTTTGTAGTCTTCATCATCATCATCATCATCATTTGATTCCTCACAGTCCATGAAGTCTACCTTGAGGGAGGCGTAACTTGTGGTTGCTTTGTAACTTTCCGTGCTCTCATGAATATTTTCTTCAGCATTTTTGTGTTGTCCTGTGCTGGAGGACCTGCTCTGTTCTCTCTGCTGTTTTGGAATCTTAGGCCTTGCAGAAGTTAGTTCTGAATCAAAGAGATCATCTTCATCTATTAAGAACAGGAAAAAAAACATAAGAAAAGTTGACATATCTGCTAAAACTTTGTCAAGAGCAAAGTTTTATTAAAAATTCATTTAGTATAAAGAGAGAAAAAGTTTTTTTT